AACCTGAAGCAACTTTATCCATACATTGCAGCACTTGTTTTCCTCACACCTGAAATGACTGCTATATCATCAAACATTAATGTGACATTTTAGACTAACTGTTTTACCCTGAGTCTGTCTATGTCATCATAAAGTGGCTTTGTGAGACTGAGCCAAAGCCGCCATATTTGGAGAAATAATTTAGAACATTGCTTTCGCTAAAATATCCACTCAGACACATTTGTTTTGTTGAGTTATTTAAGTTAAAATGAATTAATATTTAAATGGGAAAGCAAAAAAAAGTTAGGAAATATAATGCATCCAATATTTAGACCTGGAAAGTAAATAAATGACATAAAGGCTGATAAACCCAGCCAATTACGTTAAATTGTTTATGTACAAGCTAATCTTGTGAGCTAAGCTGCCATGACAGGAAGTCAGGACTGTGAAAGACTAGTTTGGACCGTCCCCACAGCGTTCCCTGAAACACTTGGCCTGTCCGCGGAGAGCACTTTAACATTCGTCCGTCTTGCCACCCGTCAGTTAACATCCTCATCAATCGCACCAGCGTTCAGAGAGGACTTCCTGAGTGACAAGGCCCAGAGAACGAAAGCCTTGCGAACACGGAGGAAGTGCCAGCCCAGAGACTGGAGTTCACCTTGCCTTGAGCCAGAGTATTGATACGTCGTCACTGTGACTGAAACTTCAAAGGCATTTCATCTCCACATGGAAGATGCTTCTTCTCTCATCTTCACTTCACAAAATCTGTCTCAGGAAGGACATGTTGATGCTTTGGAGAGGGTGAGGAGGAGGTGGGGACGGGGGGATAAAAAAAAAGTTTCCATGAGCTCTCTTGAAACATGCTTGACCACATTAACGATACGGAGGCTGTTAAAACATTAAGGAGCTCCTGTGATTCCTAAATGTTGAGAAAAACAAGGAGAGTAAAAAAGAAACGGATCAGCGGTGCGTACAACAGAACAACAAACCTTTCTCTGTAGCACTTCTTTTTACATCAATGCACAAGGTCAAATCTACATCACATCAAAGGTCTCTAATTAAATTACTGTTTTGCACATTTGAGAATGAGTGCATTTTCTCAGGATCACACACAACCAGTAATTGCCACGGCATTGTAAGGCGAATAAATGCCAAGTTTCCTCTTCTCTCTCTCTCTCTCTTGTGTTCACAGACAAATGAAAGACGGAGGAGAGTGGTCTTTTCAAAGGGCGCCTCCCGGAAAAGAAAGAAACAAACCTGACAGATGCACAAATTAACACACAGGAGGGGAAAAGTCGTAATCCAAAGCCTCCGATGTTATAATTACAGCTCTTTCTCGCTCCTTGAGACACATAAAGGAGGATTTCTCTTACTCTCTGCTTGCATTTTCTTTCTTCATCTCCCCTCCACCTCTCACAGCACAGCTTGGCGAGCTGGTATTAATTGCTCCAAAAAAGCTGTGGAAGAACAACAAGTGCTTCTCATCCTGGTATAATTGTGTCTGTAGGAGTTGGGGGGGGAGGAGGGATGAGGAAAGGGTGCTTGAGAAGGCTTCATTGCTTACAGGATGAAAAAAAAAAGATTTGTACTCGATCTGTGGTTTGGCAGGAAAGAAGAGCAGCATTTGGTACAATGTGATATAATGGCGCACTCTAGTGGACAGACAGTGAAGGTCTATTATTAACAAGTTAAATGAATGCATGTTGTTTCGTAACTCCTGAAAGCACCTCTTGTGGATTTAGCTGATGAAATTAAGATATTCTACTTTTCAGAAAATAATTTTTACTTACAATCATATTCAATAAATTATGAGTTGAGATGAGGCCCGTTTGGCATATCAAAAGTACCTACCTGAATAAACTTTTAAGTAGGCGTTAAGCCTATTTTTTTTTCCATTAAATCCTTATTTCTGTATTATATAATTGTCTTTTGTTGGTCTGATGTTATATTCTGATATTAGATGTCACGTTTTCAATAGCTGTAAGTGGAAAATCATTGTAGTGGAAAAATAAAGCATCTTGGCTTTATTATTGAAATCAGTTTACGACTTTATTCTGTAGTGTGAAAGAAAAAAGGATTCACCAACAAAAATAAGACACCTCCAAAACGTCTTTGTATTTTTTTTTTTTATGTGAAGTGAGATCAAAATTTCTCAAGATGTCATCAAACATGGTTAAAGTTTGAGTATCGACTGGAATAAAAAAATTTACATGTAATCACTTTTTCTGTTATTTTAAAAAGAAAAATTGGTCAGTTATTTATATCATTCTCAGTTATGAAAGGAAAAAAAAATCTTTATTGGCATTAAAATGATCAAATTCTTAGAATTCCTGACCAGATCTTTAGGACGTTTTCACTCTTATTGTGACGATTTACCTTTGGCGACAGTGAAGTGTTTGAGGCTGGAAGTCCTCTTTGCCATCACCCTTATCAGACTGTATTAAATGCAGGTTCAGACTCTGCCAGGGCTGCTTCAAAGTGTTAACTTTACAAGAAACATTTTAAAAGATTAGTTTTAATTAGTTTTAAATCTGCCAGGAGTGAATAACTTCAGCCTCAACTATATCCAAGTTCTGTATTTACAGTATGGGGCTTCCCAGACTTGGAGGGTTTTACAGCCTTCCTCTAAAACTCTGGGGTGAGGCAGTTCCAGTAAGCAAGTCGTTTATTTACAGGCACTTACACTAATTGAAATGTATGGATCTGAACTGCAGAATATTTCAAGGTCTAAGTGATATCCTCAGAAAGTACACAGTGTAAAAGTTTAAAGTCCGAGGGAAGGAAGTTACAACACAAAGACATCATCAGCGCTAAACATAATTCATTGTTTTATTTAGCTAGTGAGTTACCAAGAGGAGAAAATAATCACATATTTGCATTCAATGGTTCTTTCTCTTCCTTTGTTTCTGGCTGAATCTCCGTCCGGTCGATTAGCTGACCGTGGAGGTTCTCCCAAAAGTTCAACGGGTCGTTTAGCACGATCGAACCTGGGGTACAGTTAGAGCACATCCACATCAGAGCAACGACAGTCACCAAGTCTAACTGGCAAAGCAGCGGGTTTTCTCCTCGGACAAATGCACTTCAGAATGACGGAACCACAAGAAAGAAAAAAATTTAAAAAAAAAAAGAGGTGTGTAAGCCGGCAGTTCACCAGCCAGCTCCATAATCGTAAGCTTTTCGTACACAGAAAAAGATGCAGAAAGAAAGGGGGCAAGGTAAGGGTAGGCCCTATGATTGGTACGATTCTGGCCGTTTTCTATTTATGTCATCCCACACCTGTCAATTTCTAGCCCTCAATCTGGCAGATTGAGTCAATTTCCACATCTTTAATTCTCTTTGAGACCAGATCAAGCTCACCAATAACCCAACCATGTGAGGCGACAGTAAAAAAAAATAAAGAAAAAAAAGTAAAATCTGTGAAATCAATGTCTTCTCTGGTTAATCTGTTAGAAGCTCACAAATGAAAAATAATCAAAGAACAGAGTTAGCTAGTTAAGGGTATTGGCAGAGGCTGCTTAGAAGGACTGAAAGTGCTTAAAAAGACAGAGTTTCAAACAGATTACGCTCTTTTTCTTGTGAGACAGGAAAACGGGGTTTGATGCACCAATCAACGGATACAGGATGAGTCCACCTAATGTCGCGCTCAAGTCTTCGGATACGTTGCTGTCTCGGGAGGACAGGCCGCGACAGTCCCTCCACCGTGGGGTTAGGTTAATTTGATTTAAAGGTCCTTCATCGTTAGTGTTGCGGAGGGTCTGCCTCAAGGTCACTGCTTATTCCTGCTGCGCTCCTGGAGGACGAAACACACACACAGATCAGCAGTTAGCGAGAGCGGAGAAAGAAAGGTTTCAAAGCCAGCATCGTCAGTGAGATTGATGCTTTCTACCTCATTTCATCCAATTAGGATTATTCACAAAGGTAAACACTGAAGAAATTACACATACGTTAAACACAGTGATGTGTTTGAAGCAATTTCCTGTTGATTTCAGCTACTACAAACCCAAAATACAAGTTCACAGACACGTGGGAGACCTACAAAAAGGATTTGTAATACATAAACAGCGCACTGAGTGTATGTCTATGTATTGTACAGTTTATGCATTCAATTATAAATAGAGCTCATTGTGCATTAATTATCAATAAGGTATGACACAGAGACCCAGAGGTCATGCTGTTTTAATAGCAACCTTTAGCTCATATCTTAGACAAAGAAGCGCTCCACACTTGGTGAATATCCCCTCAAATCTCTGAAACCACTGCTTCAAAAACCAATCAAAACAACCAATCAGCAACCTTTTCTTCAACACTTTTTTCTTCCACTTAATTTTCCATCATGCTGCAATAAAGCGCTCTCCGGACAGCTAACTTCTTTAGCAATGACCGTTTGAGGCTTACCTTATGGTGAGTGTTAGCGACTGTCTGCTGGACATCTGTCATATCAGAAGTCTTTCCCATGATTCGACAGACCTTTCTGTGCTGAAAATCTTATTTTTTTTATTTGTTATTTTTTTTGTAATATTCTAATTTTCTGAGAAGCTGAATTTTGGGTTTACATCAACTCTAAGCCAGAGTCATTTGTATTAACAAAAACAAAATCTATAAACATATGCAATGAATGCATATAATACTTTTTAAATTAAATTACTAAAATAAACTAATATTTAAATCACATATTAGCTTGTCTGGTGTTGCTTAAATGCAGAGAAATTATATTGAAGAAACCAATTTTTAATTTGTAAACATATTACCTAAACTAGAAGTAATGGAAAGGTAACTTTTTCCTTCCATACTCGTGTAAAAATAATAAAAAAGCAATTAAGAAGAGAACCAATACCGCTACTAGCAAGCAAAGCACCGAATGGAAGTCTGTAATGGCTTAATGTCTTTTTTCGTGACTCATCTATGCCTTGTATTACTTTAAGACGTACATTTATGAGTCTGTCTTTTTCCTGTGTGCCATTTTTAGGCTGATCTATTTGCAGAAATAAAATTCAATCAAAATGGTTTTTCCATTTGTTTTGAGATGCGTCAAAAAAAAAAAAAAATACTGCAATTTTATTACCATGCAGGGAGCACTTTCTATTCATCAGGCAGTTTTTGCTATATATTGCTCTGGAACAGAAAACTGCTGTTCTTGTTTATTAGGTGTAGGTGGGGTTTAATCAGGAGGGTGTAATTTACGCAGCAAAATTTTACTTCATCAAATAACCGGCACATTAGTGCGGGAACTGGACATTCAGCAGGTTGACTAAGATATTTTGCTAACTGCAAGTTTTGGTTATGTGTACACAGGATTTTTTTTTTTAATACCTTTAAGAGCAATAAGAGTGTTTTCATGCAGCCTCCCAGGGAAATATGTTAATACATAAATTCGATAAGCCACAACATCAAAAGCACTTACAGGTGAAGGGAATTAAACTGCTCATCTTGTTTCAGTCTAAAAATTCATACAGGGAAATGTTGGCTCCATGCATTCGTGTGGTTATTACCGCGACACATGCCAGCCAACCAACCAACCAAGCTACACCCCCTCCATGGCAACAGTCTCCCCTGACTCGAGTATGCAGCATTGCAAAAACTATTCAGGAATGCATGCAGGGAACACAACTAGCAGCCCAAGGCACCGACAGCAACAGATGCAGTGGAAGAAGCCAAATCCATGGAGATTCAGAACTGGAACCCAGTGGACCAGCAATTTTCAACAAATCACTAGAGGACGTATGAAGATGCCTTCATCTTGAAAATGTGGCACTTACATTCTTTTTGGTAACACTTTATTTGAAGTGGGTTGAATAAGACTGTCATGACACCGTCATAAACATGACATAACACCTGTCATGAACATGAATAAGTCTTCATGAATATTTATGACTGTTGTCATAAAGCGTCATTCGGTAAATTATGACACTTTTAATACAAAGTTGACATTATTCAAAAAATGTCTTTGTTATGACAACTTGACATTAACCAAGAAATCATTGCTGTTTAAACTTTAGCTTTAATAATATAAAGTTACCTAATTTTTAAAGGGCAATCAGTAATACTTTTATAACAAATTTATATCAGCAATGATTTCTTGGTTAATGTCAAGTTGTCATAACAAAGACATTTTGAATAATGTCAACTTTGTATTAAAAGTGTCATAATTTACCGAATGACGCTTTATGACAACAGTCATAAATATTCATGACGGCTTATTCATGTTCATGACAGGTGTTATGTCATGTTTATGATGGTGTCATGTCAGTCTTATTCACCCCCCTTCAAATAAAATGTTACCTTTTTTTTTCTCCATTCTGGTTGGGTTCAAACTTGTATTTTATTATTATTATTATTTTAATGTTTCAAAACAATGAATGCCACAACTCTCCGTTTAAAAAAAAAAAAAAAGTTTTGAAAACTTAATTTTCAAGTTAAACTTTGCAATTGTACATCACTTCACATGAAGTCTCCACAAAACCTACTAAAGTTTAAAGTTGCCAGCATGACAGGATGTGAAAAAGCACAAGGAATCCTGTGCTCTATATTTTGTTGAGGATATATTTTATGTTAATTCCAAGTACCTGAGGGTAATCACCAAGATAAAAATACAAAGCGCATGTTTTAAGTTAAAACAACCAGAGAAAGAAACTGACTAGAAAACAGGAGAAGAGTTAGATCCCAAGGAATGAACTGACAAAATATTCAGCCATATTTACACTGTCAGGAGACTGCTGTCACTACTTTCTGCTCGTAACCCGAAATCTCACGTAGTCAGGGATAAAAGGAGGCGTATATTCTAAACAAAATATCACTTCGTTCCGACAATGTCAAATATTCAATGGCTTGTTATAGATTAAAAGAAGATGAATGCCGTGAAGCGTCATGTGAAGAACAGCACAGGTACAAAGCAATTTTTTCCCCCTTCCCATTTCTCAGATGAAACAGTGCTCTCTTTGAGGTTGACCATATCAGTTCCCTGGGAAAAATGCAGAGACCCAGACCCCAGCAGTAACTCAATCCCCAGATGGCCTGCGACAAAAAGCCTCATGATATTTAGTCTATACAAGGCCTGCAGCTCAAATCAATGTAGTTCTTCAAGTTAAAATATAACCTGACCGAGCAATTCATCACAAAACTAATTATGCAATTCATCTCCTCAAACTAATGAGAAAAATGTACTTTTCAACGAAATAAAGTTACTTTTTAAAATCTTTTCAATTATGAAATTGTGCGCAGTACCAGCTACAGAAATATTAAAAATGGACTCGATATTCAATAAAAGCTCCAAATAAAATTTAGACGCAAGGTTATCTATCCAATCAAAAACAATAGCATAAAGAAAAAGGAAGAAAAAAAAAAAAAAAAAAAAAAAAAAAAAAAAAAAAAAAAAAAAAAAAAAAAAAAAAAAAACACACCTTGAGATGGTGTTAGGAAAAGGTCTTGTTGCACAAGCCTGACATCTTTGAAAGGCTGGGTAGGACAGGCCAAACAACAGGCAACAATTAACCTTGTCAGGTGAAGAAGGGCGAGGCCTCGACCTGCGCCGATCCCGTCATGTAATGAGGGTCAGGGATACAAAAGCAGCACGGCCCGACGTCTGCGCGACGCGGGATGAAACCGGCTTCCTACTGACAGTTTGTTTTCAGGAGCCTGAAAACATTGACTAGAAATATTTATGAGAAAGGAACCGAGTGCATATTAACGAGGTCAACAACGAGGAGTCAATACAGCGTCAGTGCAGCACCAACATTTGGAGAAACAGAGAGGGAGGGGGTCCTTGTGTATGTGTGTGTGTTTTATGGATAGAAGAATGGATGCAGAAGGACACTACTAGAGATTTAATTCTCTGTTTTTTTTAACTTCCATTTGAATTACACCATTATTACCACTATTGGGACATAATTAAATTTCCCCTCTGAGGATGTTAAACTAAGGGTGTTTTTCAGAATGACAGCTCAATGTGATTAAAGAACTTCATAATATATTATGCAGAACAAAACAAAAAAAAATATATATATATATATATATATATATATATTAAAAAAAACTCTGCTAACTGTGCCAGGACACATTTTAACCACTTTGGAGCCTGGGAGCTTATGCTGTTAAAAGGCTAATAAAGCACGAGGAGTCTGTGGATGCCTGGGAGGGCTTGTAGTTCAAAAGTAGATCCAACTTTATGTCTGCCTTTGTCTGGGAAAACAGAATGCCAGGAATGTGGGTTATTTCCGGAAACACGACAGTCACCTAACTCCACTTGGGTGACTCTTAGCAATCTTAACAACGCCAGATGGCTGACGCAGGTTCAGGGTTTCCTCAACTTGCTCATGAGTAATGGCGAAGCGTCAATCTGCAGACGGGCCTCGAGGAACTTCCATTTATTGCAGACTGTCGATGCAGCCGCTGATGTTACAACCTCACATCAAGTTGAACAACATCGGCTGATTATATTTACAACAACCAGCAAAAATTCAAAAATACTTGCCCAGTTTTTTTTTTGTTTTTTTTTTTTTATAAAATGGCCAACAAATTACATCAGGAATGTGAAGGAGCTGTTTATAAAAAAGGAACACACAGTGGAGACCATGAAAAGATTGTCTACTCAACAACCTACAATGGCGGCGTCTGGTCAGCAGCTGATGCTCCAAGGCATGGCACCCAGATATTGTTTTGGAAAATAAACGACTTCTTAAAAATACCCATGACACAAGTCATGGGTATTTGTAATTGATCCCATCTCGTCGTACTTTGCCAGACGGAACCAATCTGTGTTTGAGGTGCCAATGGAGGCGTGGAAAATGACAAGACCCACCAGAAGTGTGTTCCCTTTTAAGCTCAATAGAAGGTAATTTATCTCACCTTTCTCAAAGCCTCCTCTTCTTCCTGACGTTTCTCATAATGTGCAAAGTCATCAAAGATTGAGGTGGTATGCTTGTAAGTGGCAATAACTTTAAGCACTTGTTTGGCCTTCTCCAGAGGCACTTCCTGAGTGTCCCTGGAGTTGGTCACTGGCTTGTTGTCATTGTTCTCCAGCCGGATGTGACGCAGCTGGTTGTTGGGCACATCCTTGATGAAAATCCACTTCACCTCAAACTTGCCCTTCCACTTGTCCTGAGACCAGACGCCTGCGTAAGCGTTGTAGTCCACTGGCGATCGCATTTCGGCCACACCGCAGAAGTGCCCACTACCGTTGACGCTGAACAACAGGTACAAGGGGCCCTTGTTGCATAGCGAACGGTAAGCACTATCCAGGCGCTTGTTTCCATGTTCTGTACTGCACCAGATAGAGTACTTGATTGAACGATGGATGTCATCTTCTGAGTAGCTCTTGATAATGAAAACACGTCCATTTTTCAAGTTCCAGTCAAAGTCTTTGGGGTTGTAGTTGTTGACGGTACGGAGTTTCTCCAACACGGGGTGCACTTCTCCAGAGCAAGGGGAGGCACTCAATGGAACTCCGCCACCCAGACTAAAGCCCTCACCACGGTTCCTGGGGGCAATCCAGCGATTGGGGGGTGGGCCAAGCTGCTGAGGTTGTTGTTGATGAAGGTGCTGTGGGAGGCCAGGTTGGGAGGGGAGGTGCAGGTGAGGAGGGCCATGGGGCAGAGGCTGGGGGTGCTGGGGTGATTGTATAGACTGGAGCTGGAAAGGCTGGTGTTGATGCTGGGGTTGGTGCGGAGGCTGAGGGGGCAAGGGGTTCCGCAGTAAGGGTTGGGGCTGTGCAAGGAGAGGGGGCTGCACCAGAGGTTGTGGGGGCATCATAGTCTGAGCTAACGGCGGTTTGTTTAAAGAGCCCTTATCGTCCCAGGTACCAATGTTCATATTGTGCTTAATTGGGGGTGGAGGAATGGCGGCACCTCCCCCCATCCCCATGTTGGCTTTGGCTTTGACCTTGAGCTGGGGCTTGGCCGGTTTCTTGGCAATTGCTGCCCAAGTGGCAGGTTTAGGTGCAGACGAGTTGACAGATGGAGGGAGATTATTGGCCACTGTACTGTTCATGCCCACTGTACCCCCTAAAGGTGAGCCAACGGTTTTGGTGACAGCTGCCACCATGTCCGTACCCAGCTTTAGCCCCGTCATACCCTGCTCAATGCTGTTCAGCACTGGGACCTTACTGAGCTGGGTGTCACTTCCAAAGCCCGCCTGTCCGTCTGTGATTGCCCGGCCCAGTGAGCTGGGAGCGTAGCCATAGCTGTTACTGTAGACTGAGCTCTGAGTTGACTGACCCTGAGAGACACTGGTTCCCCAGGTGGAAAAGTCTGCACTGCCGGGAAAGAAGTTGAAGCCATGCTGCCCGAGAAACGGAGGAGTGTTTCCTAGGGCTCCTGGCTGGCTGAAAACACCATCAGGGATAAAGTGCGGCTCCCCATTGCTCATCTGTCCATAGGTGGTAAGGTAGGGCATAGGTGGATCTCCAGCTGTGGACCAAGCAGCCTCTCCCAGAGAATAAGGAAACCCAATGGATGGAGCATAGTAGCTGGGCATGTAAGGATCAGACATTGGTGGATAGCTGTTATTCTGCATGGCACAGAAAGACAAGAGATTGAAAGTATTATTCAAAAAGACAGATGCTTTTGCATTTTATTACTGTTTAAGTCAGTTATATGTAACAAAATTACATTTTAATAAATTTCTTTTTCAACAACTCTGTTTTGTTGTACTGCCTTAGTTTAATGAAAAGTGCTGTTCATATGAATGCATTATAGCATCTGAGTACACAACATTGGAAAACATTTCAAAGAGCATCTATTAATATTACCGTCAGATTTACAGGTAAGGCAAACATCAGAGTATCACTAGTCTTTTTTCTTATTGTATTTTTTATTTCATTCACTCTAACTGAGTTTAAGCTATTCTGCAATGAATAGTGGAAAAAAATTGACCAATTCTAAATTTCACAAATCTGGTTGAGGCTGCTACCCCCGCGACCTGACCCCGGATAAGTGGAAGAAGACGGACGGATGGATGGTTGAGGCATACTCCAAAAGAATTGCAGCTTTAATAAAGATGGTTCCAAAAAGCACTGACTCAGGGGACTGATTACTGGTTCATTTTTTGTTTGAAAAGATTTTCCTTCCACTTCACAATTATGTGCCATTTTGTCCTAGATTGATTCAGGGGATATGAGTAATATCTCATTGAACTGTATGGTAGCCATGTACAACAGAAGCTAATAATAACCTATTATGAGACATTGGAAAATAAAACTCTGAACTTGGAAATAAACATACAGAAGGCACTTTAATTGAAATACAAAACAGGAACTCAAGAGTTGACTTGTGAGTTTGATTTTTTTTCTTTTTTTCAGAATACTTATTAAAAATGGCTGTGGCAATCCTTA